TAGGCTAGCCCTGCCCAAGACAGCCTGATCCAGATCTTGTAAACCTGGCATCTCAGCCTGAGTGGGAAATGTATGCATGTGTGTGTACATGTGCGTGTGTGTGCCCTGCCTCTGTTTACACTGGAAGGACTTATCTAATTGGCCTCTCTTTGTCCTCAGGAAAAGGGCAGAGCGAGACACCTCCTGCCCCAGGGGGACGGCATGTCCCTGAGACCAGGTCAAAGTCGGGGAGGAGGAAGTGCCCCTTAGAGTCCTGAGCGCCAGGCGGGCGGTGCGGGCTCCCAGTGTGGTGCCCATGCGCCCTGAGGTGAAAAGGCTGTGAGCAGGCCCTACCGTGCCCATGTTTCTCCATTTATATATCACAGGCGCACGTGCCTGCACTCATGCGTTAAGTAAATTATGAACCGAAGAGGAATGTGAAGACATGGAACAAATGGTACAGAGGAGCTATGTTTTCTGACAATGGGCTTTTCCCCACCTCACCCTGAGAGGGCCCGTGCTCCGCTTGGACCTTCCGAGGGTCCATCCCTTTAAGACCTGAGCCCAATCTATCGGCCAACTCTGGCTTTGCTTCCCGTGGGAAGCAGCAGCCTTTTCCTGGCTGCATCCTGGCTGCCCCGAGGTCGGCATCCTGCCAGGACCTCTCGGGGTGTGAGGCCCAAGCCCCCCACCCCACCTTACAGGCGCAGCGGGCACCCAAGTGAGTCCAGGCCTGCCGGGGTCTGCGGGACCCTGTCCCACTCTAGGTGTGCGTGCACACTGTGTGTGTGTAGCGCACACTCCTTCTGTTTCCTGTGAGCACTTCCGTTGTGAGGTTTAGATGGTGAGAAGGCCCACACTGTAGCCTGCGTTTTCCTCCCCAGGAATCGGGGTCAACACCCCCAGCAGAGCTGGCAGGAGGAGATGGCTGCCCTGAGGCACAAGGTTCTTTGGAAGGGGACACAGTGCCCAGGGCCAGGTCCCACATGCTCCGGGTGCGGGCCCAGGGCTGCGCCCAGGTTGGGGGTGCGGGTCGCTCCCCAGGAGCTGCTTTTCTCTGTTCCTTTCAGACTGTCAGGCTGATTCATATTTTCCAAAAGTCCTGGTGACCACACCATCTCTTTATCGCTCCTGTGGTTGTGGCTGGGTTCAAAAGTTTTTTCCAACTTCCTTTTACTCTTTCCAGCTGATTTAACTTTCCATGCTCCAGGCCACATCACACACCGCTCCTCCCAGGTAGCTGGGACAACACTGGCTCATGCCTCGGTGTGAGGTGCAGGCTCTGAGGGGGACCTCCAGCCCCTCTTTTCACAGGGGTGGGAGCTGAGGCCCGGGAGGGGGGAGGCCAGGCCAGGCGAGGGGCCCAGGGGCCTGTTCTATCATAAGGAGGGCTTCTGTTCTTTGACCCTGGGCTCCTCACCGTGGCCCAGCCCCCGTCCCTCCCATGGTTCAGGCAAAGCTCATCTCTCCACCCCCACCTCTCCTTGACAGGAAAACTCCTCTTAGCCTGACAGGACTGGGCTGAGGCAGTCCTGTTCTGGACGCCCCCTGGGATGTCCCAGTGTGGGGTGGATACCCTTTCCTCCCTTTAGGGTTGAGTTGTGTCCCCCCTGCATTCATACAGTGAAGCCCTGATCACTAGTACCTCAGAATGTGGCTGAATGGAGATAGGGCCTTAGAAGAGGAGATTAGGGTAAAAGGAGGTCACATCACTAGGCCCTAATCCAGCATGACCAGGGGCCCCGTAAGAAGAGGAGATGAGAACATAGACACAGGACAGTTGTGTGAGGACAGGGGGAAGGTGGCTATCTGCAAGCCAACAAGAGGCCTCAGGAGAAACCAGGCCTGTGGACACCTTGATTTTGGACTTCCAGCTCCGGAGCTGTGGGGTAATAAATGTCTGTTGTTTAAGGCCACCGGGTCTTTGGCATTTTGGTAAAGCAGCCCAGGTAGACTACACACCCCCAGATGCTTGCCTGTCTCCCGGCGTCCTCCATCCAGATGTTCTCTTTACTTTGAAGTCTCCCTCACTGGATGGTGACTTCCCTGGACAATTCATCTCTAGACCTTCGGCGCCTAGGTCTTCAGTGTTCGGGAAACGCTTGTTGAACTAAATTTTTCTTGGCCTAAACCCACATACTTTATATAGCTCCTCGGCTCACAGAGTGAACCAGGAGTTGTATAAAGAGGAAATAAAGAGTGGGCCTGGGTATGTAGACTCTTCAACCCTCTTGAGGGTTCCAGGGACACCTAATGGCACATCAAGCTCCACTTAACTGGTGCCCTGCAGCCCCTGACGGTGCCCTCTAGTCTCCCTGCTACGCCTGCGTCACTGGGCGACTACCCCTGGTTGTGGCTGTCTACCTGCCAGTGGATTATGTTCCTAATCCATTTATGTTAGCCATGCTTGTTGTTATGACATTGTGTGATTAAATATGCCTAAGTGGATAAAATATGAATTCAAAGAGAATTTTTCAACTAATACTAAATTAAATGCTTTGGAAAAGGTTCATTGAAGGTGAGTTGCCTTTAAAATATTGCTGTTAGATTAAGCTTGATAGGGTAGCCAGTCTCCACAACAACCCCTCCTGTTTGTCACCTGTTAGATGCATGCCTTTGGGTAGCCCTCTCCCACGCTGAACCAAGACCGATCTGCAACACCAGACGCGGTGGAAGTGGGGCTGTGTGTCTTCTGGGGTGAAGTGATAAAAGGCATTGCTGCTTCAGCCAGGTTGTCTTGGGAGACTTGCTCTGGAGAAGCTGTCACTCCATGGGGACACTCAAGCCTCCCAGGAGAGCACCGCATGGAGAGAGGCTGAGGCCTCCCACCTACATGCGGGGGAGCAGATTTGGAAGCAGATCCTGCAGTCCCAGCCCATCCTGCCCATGCGGGCAGCCCCAGCCACCCGCTGGCTGGAGCCTCAGGAGAGGCCCTGAGCAGACCTGCGCTGTCCAGCCACTCCCGAATTCCCAACCACTGACAGGGTGAGAGCGAGGCGGGTGATTCTTGTGGCTTCAAGGCAGAAAGCCCTGAAGTAATTGTTCCACAGCAATAGATGGCTCGCACACAGGGGAAGGCCTCTGCAGAAGGATCATAGAAAAAAATGGTAAAAGTCTGAATGGGGCCTGGGCTCTAGTTGTATCACAAATGTTCCTTAAACTCTGCTCAGATTTAAAATTAAGAAGTAGGAGTCACGAGAGTATGGCGGCCCGTGCTCAGAGAAGGCTTAGCTCCTCCACCGAAGTAGACTGGTGAATATACTTTGTATGATTGTGGATAAAATGAGAGTTCCTGTGGCCAGGATTCTCACCTGGCTGTGGTTGACTAGCTCACTGCACACCTGTGGGCACTACATGGCTGTTGCTCTATATAAAGAGCTCTGCCCAGTTCTCGGTGCACGACGTGGTGGCAGGGCTGCAAGGCTGCAGGAGAGCAGAGCAGAGGCTGGAGTGGTGGCAGTGCCGAGGACAGAGACCCAGAGGATGGCTGTGTGGGACAGCTGTGCAGAGAGGCCCAGAGGACAGCTGTGCGGACAGAGGGGCCCAGAGGCAGAGATTGGCTTGCTGCCTGCAGACTCGCTCTGAGTGAACGGGATTCTAGTGACTGACCTGCCACCTGGAAATAAAGTTGGGTATTTCCCTTTCACCCCAAGAACTTTTTGCTGTCGATTTCTTTGGTTACACTGAATCCACAGCGAACTTGCCTGGGACTAGAACCCATTGGCAAGACAATGATTCAAGTTCAAAATGAACATTTTAAGGCATGGTTGAATTTTTAAAAATAATTTTTCAATTTGGAATAATTCGACCCACTTTTTGGTGAACTAAACCAACACCAGTCCTGGAGCTCAGGAAAAGGAGTGTGTGGGGGGCATTTTATAAGTACAAGTGGGGGTCCCTTTGTGCAAGGAGCTGAAAGGTGCTCTGTCAATCAAACATCAAAACATTTGAATTATACTGTAAATGTTCAATGAGACAGCTTTACACAGAAAGGGCCCATAATAAATCCTCTGACCTGGTCTGGATATAGGTCCTGAAGTGACTTAAAAGGGTAAACTCAGAACACAGGTAACCTTGACCAGAAGAGAATTCCAGTCGAGAGCCATTTTCTGTTGAGCTGCTGTCCCCACTGCCCTCCTCAGCTGTGTGTCTGAAGGGAACTGCACATTTCCTGCATTAAGTTTTACAAACTGGGAAAGGGCTGGGAAGAGGCCTGGCAGCTCCGGGAGCCCCGGGAACAGCTGCTGCTGGTTTCCAAGCCTCCGGGCTCAGTCTCTGCTCCCCTGGCCTCTGCCCAGCTGCTTCTGCTCCCCATGGCTCAGCCACCTCTTCCAAGGCCCCGTTCTTGTGGATGCCCACAGCTCCCCCTGTGCCCTTCCCTCCCTCACCCTTTTCCGACAAGCGGGGCACCATCCACCCAGCTCCTGCACCAGGAGGCCTGGGCTTCTTGCCTCTTCTCTCCACACTCTCCATTGTGTGGCTCCAGGACAGAGAAGCAGCCGGTGGGCAAGGGACATGAGTGTCCAGAGGTTGTGGACTGAACACTCGCTTTCCAGCCCCCACCAAATTCACACGCTGAAGCCCAGTCCCTAGGGTTTGGAGATGGGGCCTTGATGGAGGTAATTAAGGTTAAATGAGGTCATAAGGGTGGGACCCTGACCCAACAGGACACTTCTTAGAGTGTCCTTATAAGAAGACACCCTAGAAAGCCCCCTCTCTCCCTTTCCCCCTTCCTCCTGTGTGACAATGCAGCAGGAAGCAGACTTCTGCAAGCCAGAGACAGCTGCCAACACCCTGGCCTCGGACTTGCAGCGCCCAGAGCTAAGGGATGTCTGTTTGAGTCATCCAGTCTACGGTGCTTTGTTGTGGCAACCCATCATATTGTGATTTTTAATAATATACATTTGGTCTTTGTTTCCCATTCCCCCACCCCACTTCCTGGCACAAGCACCTAAAACCCTTGGAATTTCCTGATAAGAGAGAGAAAGGTGTGTTCTGTTATTCATAACAAGTGCCTTTCAACTACACCTGAGTTTATGTTCATGTGGTGACTTTTTGGAAAACACCTGAGACTGGGTGCTGGTTGTTTCAGAAACCAACCTATATTGGAAGGTTGGAGCTTCAGCCCCGTCCCCCAACCTTGGGAGAGGGGAGAGGGCCTGGGAAGTTGAGTTCAATCACCAATGGAGAATGATTTAGTTCAGCCACCATTATGCCTACATAATGAAGGGGTTTGGAGAGCTCCGAGGCTGGTGGAGGGGCTGGGAGGGTGGCGCACCTGGAGAGGGCATGGAAGCTCTGGGCTCCTTCCCACATTCCTTGCCCCAAGCTCCTCTCCCATCTTGCTGTGTCTGAGGCATGTCCTTTTCTAAGGAACTGATAGTCTAGTAGGGAAACTGTTCCTGAGTTCTGTGAGCTGCTGTAGCAAATCAATCAAACGGGACGATGGGTTCGTGGGAACCTCCAATCTGTAACCGGATCGGATGGGATCAGAAGCACCGCTGACAGCCTGGACTTGTAACTGGCATTTGAAAGGGACGGGGCAGCCTTTTGGGACTAAGCCCTTAACCTGTGGGATCTGCTGCTATCTCCAGGTAGGTGGTGTTGGAACTGAATTGTGGGGCGTCCAGTTGGTTTTGCAGAATGGCTTGATGTGGGGAAATCCAGTGCATTTTAGGAGCAGTTTTCTGTGAGTAGATGGACCTGGGGAATTTTTCTTGACACAGCCCTAACACACCAGGTTTGTACCTGATACCAGGAGCCAGAGTAGAATTCAATTCTGCTTCCAGCATAGCCGCTGACTGCCTGGCCCCAAAGCCAGCAGTATGAGTGTCCAAGAGGGGATGAATGAGCGCCGGTCCTGCTGGTCCAGGCACCCGCAAGGATGGAGCAGCTGGGGGGTGGGAGGCCCTCTGAGTGCAGGGAGGGCTCCAGGGCTTCACTGCCGGTTGCTCACCAGCACGCCCCAGGTAAGGAAGTCCCTGGGCCCAGATATGGGTCTGGCAGAGTCAGGAAAGGCAGCGTTGGCACAGCTGTGGCTGTGGGGCAAACAGAATCTTGCGCTACCCTCTGGGGGACGCCATGTCCACCTCTTGACATTCCTACGCCAATGACTGCAATTATGGGGTGTCACCAAGCACCACCTAGTTCAGAGACATCTTCCCATCATTGGTCACTTCTGGGCCCCACAGTCCCCCTGTTTGGCTGACTGGTCTCTTGGGCATTGAGAGGAGGCGTCCACAAGTGCCCACCTGTGGCCAAGGGTTTGCTCAGGAGGGCTGACTCTGCAGCCAGCTGCTGGATGCCCCAGTTTCCTTGTCCCTCTGACTTCACCCCAGTAGCTCCTTGTCCTGCTTACCCCTCTAAATGGAACCTCTGACTGGGTCAGCCCCCAGCATGGGGGCTGGGGGAGCATACCACCTGCCTCCCATCTTTTACCCTATCATACCCCAAAGCCCCACTCTTCTTTTTCTTTCACAGCTGATCCTGAGGGTCTAGCTTCCCTTTCTACAAAGGCCAGGTTAGCTTTGCTTCCAGAAGTTTCCTGGATGAAGGGGAAATTATTTGCATTTTTCTCCTGGGAGCTGCTTCAAACCCTGGAACGGGCTGGATCTTTCTGTAACAAAGAAAATGAAGAGGAAAAAAACCCTGTAGTTTCCATATCAAACCAGGTTGGTTATTTACTCCCTGTCTCACATCATTAAAACATTTGCTGTGTGGGCCCTGACAGCAAGCAGGGCACACAGAGGGGAGTAGAACTCTGCCTGGGTGGAGTGGGGCACAGACTGGCCTCCTGGCACCGAGGTAGTACCCTAGAAGGCTGCTCTGGGCCCCAGTGACTCCGGGGCAAGCGCAGCCCAATGGCCCAGCATGGAAGGGGAAGGGCTTCGGAGCCCAGCAATATGATCCAGGCCTTGAGGCCTGGTAGCCAGGGTGCTTCGGAATTTAGGGGGAGGGGAGACTCAGAGCCGTAAGATGCTTTCCTTCTGGAAGTCCTGGTGCCCCCACACCTCTGGAACTCGGAGCCGTGGTGGGGCTGAATGGAGGCTCCCTACCATGCCCAGGGCCCTTGCCATGAGTGTGCAGGGAACTGAGGCCTGTGATGGGTTTGCTGTGTCACAGCCGGGAACGAATACTGGGCTGAGTACAAAGCCACACTGTCCCCTGGCAGGCGATGACGGACCCCAGGCAGCCAGCTGAAAACAAGTGTAGCTGTGAGGCGACCTGGCACCCATGGATGGATGCCTCTGCAGGCTCCATTTGGGGCAGAGCAGCTTCCCCTCACCCCCAAGACCTGAGCTCCCCCCACATGCACACCTGGCAGATTTCCCTGCCCCAGCCTCAGATGCTCCAGGACAAGCATCTTCCCTCTGTCAATCCGGTGCCCTGATTTTTGGTTTGGAAAAGATAACCACAGACCCTATACCAGCTGGTACCCCATGATGTGTACGGGGAATCAGATCGAGTGTGGCTTTCACGACTGTCCCATCCCCACTGCACTCACCTTCCGAAGCTTCCATCTTTTGTAGAACTTCCCACAGGCAGACTCATTCATTCCCCGATGCCTGTGTGAGTGAAGCCAACACAGTTCATCCTGCCTTCAGAACCTGGAGACAGGTTTCAGGACTGAGTGACCGGCCTCAGGGCAGGCAGCAAAAGCAGTGATTTGTGTTTGTGTTGGAACTTCGGTGCGTGACCCACAGTTCATTGCTTTTCCTGCTGCCACTGTGCCTCTCTTGCAAGAAATAAAATTTACCGAGCAAGTGCGCCCCCCTGGGCCTAAGGGACACTGCAGGGACCTCACAGGACAAAAACGGGCCCAGCACACAGAGCCACACTGTGCGGTGTGTTAAGTGCTCTAATGGAGAGGGGTACAAAGTGATGTGGGGCAAGGCGCTTCCTGTGGGGCGCTGGAGTGGGGCTGGAGCAGGGAGGGCTGCTTGGGGGGAACAGCCAGAGCAATTCTGTCCAGGTTTGAGAGCTTGGTGCCTGCAGACGAGGGACAAGGCGTTTGGGGAGGCAGACCACTTTATCTGATTCTCGAATCGGCTTCAGGAGGAACGTGGAGTTCTAATCCCTGCTTTTCAGAGATGTGGAAACCCAAACTCAGCGATTATGCGACAGGCCCAGGGTTACACAGCTGTGAATGGTTTATTGGAAGCTCAAGTCCAGAGGTCCGACCCTTGGTCCAGGGACAGCATTTCAGAGATGCAGGCCCCCAGAAGGCATGCAAGCTCCCGTTGGCTGGTTGGCTGGCTAGCTGGCTGGCAGATGCAAGTGGCAGCGCTTTCTGCAGGAAGCCTGGCTCCAGTGCTGAGTCATTCTGGCTGGTGCGGGGAAGGAGGAAGGTGGATGCCCAGGCTGCAGTGATGGCTCGGCCCTTTGCTCCCCAGGGCCCCCCTGGGCCCCTAGCAGCTCCGTGGGTCCTGCTCAGCTGTATTCAAGCCAACCCACCAACCACTGCAGGCCTGGGGAGGCCCCGTCCTTCCCTCAACCACTGTGTGTTTACTGGCTGGGGCTTTCGCATGGCAATGATGGAGACCCCTCAACATGCTCTCAGGATGAGGGCGGGGGTGCAGGCAGGTGACCAGTCATTGCAAAGCCTGGCTGGAGGATCTGAGGTGAGCTGGTGTTGGCTCCTAGAGAGGCGCTGAGGAGAGGCGACTTTAGAGCTTTGAGATGAGTTCTGCAGGGTGAAAGGTACTTGGTAAGTGGAGAGATGTGGGGGGGCTTTCCCCCGCATGGGTAGGGTTGTGTGGCTACAGAAGGAGTTCCAGGGTGGGTGGTGCAGACTGTCCTGCGGCCGGAGCCTGGCTTTCTGACTGTTAGGGGCCTTCCAACTTGTACTGGGCCCTGATTTCTCATCAGACTCCACTTTGATCAGGTTCTAGGTGAGCTCTTAGGCCAGGAAGGCTGGTGGGGCTGGGGAGGGATCCTGCCTCGGAGCAGCCGGGGTGAGAGTGCGGGAAAGGCCTGTGATGTCCTAATGTCTTTACTTCCATCAGAAGATAGAAGGTCTGGGTACAAACCTGTGGGAAGCTTCCCGCCCTGTATATTCCTATCTGAGTGTAAATCTCTGGCTGGGGGATCTTTCTGGGGAGCAGGCCTGTCAGAGAAGGGGAAGCACAGGGCCTCACTTGTTTCTCATGGACAGGCCCTGGCCCTCATTTGACTGCACCCTCAGCAGGGCAGCTAGGCCCAGGGCCACGGAGGGTTGGCAGGTAGTGCCCTGTTCCCTCCGAGCTGATGTCTCCTCTGGCAAACAGGACAGTGGGGGCCTCCTGGGAAGTGACAGAAGCAGGAGCAGTGCCTGAACCCAAACCAGCAAATCACATCCCCCAGAGCAACGTCCAGCCCTCCTCGGCCCTTCCCATTCCTCCCAGTGCCCTTGCAGTGGGCAGCCCTGAGAAGGAGCTGAGGTTTCTGGCATTCTGACTTTTCGATTAGCTGGGCAATACCATAAATCAGAATCCAGACCTAACAACAGATAAAATGAGGGGCATAGGAAACTTCATAGTACTTTTTTATGAGAAATATTTTAAAGTATTTTTTGAGTACAGAGAATAATACATCAGACACAAATACTGCTGCAACAGAATTGCTGTCAGGACATACTGGCTACTGAATTTCAAAAAGAAACGCCATGCCTACTAGCAGTCACTCTCCATGTTCCTCTACTCCTGTGCCTGGCCATCGCTAGTCTACTGTCAGTCTATGAATTTGTCTATCCTGGACATTTCATATGGCTTCTTTCACTTAGCAAGATGTTTTTCAAAGTTCACCATGTTGTAGCATGCACCAGTACTTCATCTCTTTTAATGTCTGAATGATATTCCATCATACAGTAGACCACATTTTGTTTATCTTTGCATCAGTTGATGGACTTTGGGGTAGTTTCTACTTTTTAGCTATTATGAATAGTGCTGCTATCAACATTCATGCACAAGCTTTTGGGTGGACATGTATTTTCAATTTTCTTGGGTATATGCCTGGGAGTAGAATTGCTGGGTCATATGGCAAATCTGTGTATAATGTTTTGAAGAACTGCCAAACTGTTCTCCACAGCCCACACACCATTTTATATTCCCACCAGCAATGTATGCATGTTCCAGTTTCTCCACACCTTCCCAGCACTTGTTCTTGGTTATCTCTTTGATTACAACAACTCCAGGGGGTATGAAGTGATCTCATTAAGGTTTTGATTTGTATTTCCCTGATGACTAAATATATTGACCATCTTTTCATGTGCTTATTGGTTCTGTGTGTATCTTCCTTGAAAAAATGTCTACTCAAATCCTTTTCCATTTTTAAGTTAGGTTATTTGCCTTTTTTATTGTTGAGTTGTAAGAGTTCTTTATATAGCCTAAGTAGGAGTTCCTTATCAGATATTGATTTGCAACTATTTCCTCCCATTCTGTGGGTTGTCATTTCAGCTTTCTTGGTGATGTCCTTTGAAGCACAAAAGTTTTTAATTTCCATGAAGCCCAACCTGTCAACTTTTTCTTTGGTTGCTTGTGCTTTTGATGTTACATCTAAGAAACTATTGCCTGATCTAAGGCCACAAAGATTTATGCTTGTTTTCCTCTAAGCGTGTTATAGTTTTGCCTCTTACACTATCCATTTGATCCATTTTGAATTAAATTTTTTTTTTTGTAAATTGTGTGAGGTGGGGGCCCAACTTCATTCTTTTACAAGTGGCTATCTAGTTGTTCCAGCACGATTTGTGGAAAAGACTGCTCTTTCTCCTATTGAATTGTCTTGGCACGCTTGTCAAAAACCAATTGGCCATAAAGTGTGAGGGTGTATTTCTGGACTTTAAATTGTATTCCATTCATCTGTATATCTCTCCTTAGGCCAGTACTACACTGCCTTGATTATGTTTTTACCAGATGCAAATTAGAAAGCACATTTCTTGCTTGCCTCAGAGGACTGTCTAGGCCAGTGATTCTCAAAATGTGGTCTCCTGACCAACAGCATCAGCAACATCTGGGAACTCTTTAGCAATGCAAATTCCTGGGCAATCCCCCAGACTTTGTGAATCAGAATGTCCACAGGTGGGGCCTAGCAGTCTGTGTTTCTACAAGCTCTTCAGAAGATTCTGATGCACGCTACAGGTTGGGATCTACTAGTCTATATTTGTACCACCCAGATGATAACCACTGGTCACATATGGCTATTAAGCACTTGAGTTGCAGCTGGTCCGAATTGAGATGTGTTGAAAGTTTAGAACATACTGAATTTCAAAAACTTAGTGTGGAAACAAAAAAAAACCTTGCAAAATGCCTCATTCATAATTTTTCAATTAACTACATGTTGAAGTAATAATATTTTCTATATATTGGATTAAATAAAATATATGATTTTATATATTATATAAATATATAATTTTTTACTCTTAAAAATGTGCCTACATACGTGGATCGCATCTTCTTTCTGTTGGAATTTGGACGGTTGGCTTGAAAATGGAATGAGAGACATCTGGGGGTGTTACTTCCACCCCACATTCGTAGTGAAACAGTTTCAGGCAGATCTTCACCTATTGTACTGCTCAGTAGCGCTATTTTCCAGCAGAGAAGGCATCAGGAGCAGAGATGGAAAGGCAAGCAGCCTTTTCCGGTTTAAACTGGTTTGAAACAGCAATCAAAGCGGCTGTTTGTGTTTGGCTGTGGGTTTTGCGCTTTACTGTGAGCATTCTGCAGTCCAGCAGACTTTGGGCTGCTCCCCTCAGGGTGCACGAAAGGAAAAAGATGTCAGGCCTGGCATGCAAAAGCCTGGCATGCAAAGCCCTGGGCTGGGGACTTCAGCCTTGTATACAGGGGGCTGTCAAGCTGCTGCAGTGGCACCCTTTTTCCTGTCTTGGGTAACCATTATTACCCATGGATCATAGGAGGCCTGCAAGCAGGCCTCATCCATCCAGCCATGCAAACCAGCAAAGTACTTCTGCCCTGGGGGCTCTAGTCCACCCACCCCAGGCACTTTTGGTGGAGCTACTACTCCAGCCACATACAAAGCCTTTCCCCTTTCCTGGGGGCCCCTGAGCCCCTCTCCCTGCAGGCACCTGAGTGCAGAGTGCTCATGAGGAAACGAGCTCAGAGAGGGTAGGTGTTTGGTGTAGATGACAACTAGAGCATATAGGAGCTGGGACCCGAGCCCAGGTCTCCAGACTGAGATTCACTAGGATGGTTTTCTTTCTGCATTTGTACTTAGTTAGCTTTCAATGGTGATGCTGGCGATGATAATGTAGGTAACAACTTGTCATTTATTGAGACTGTCATTCCATAGGCCTTTCACATATATTGCCTCCTTTATTCCGAGGCAGACATTAATATTCAGTTAAAAAATTAGGACATTGGAACCCTGGATTAGGGCTCGATTAGGGTTGCTAAAGAGACTGTTCTAGGCTTGCTAAAGGAGAGGGAAGAGTTAAGGAGGGAGGGAGCTAGTCTTTATTTTTTAGGACATACAAAGTTGTTCATTTAAGCCTCTTACCACCTGAAGAGGTAAGTTAAGGGTTTAAGGGACATCCCCAGGGTCCTGATGCAAGGGACTGTGGGAGCTGGACCCATAACATCAGGTCGGCCTGACCGGGAGTCCTGCCACCTCCCCTGCACCTCAGGGGTGAGCACAGCTCCTGGGCCCTTCCCGCAGCCAGACTCCCTTCCACGTCCTCACTCTGTTCCCCAGGAGCCAAGGCTGGGCAGAGGGGCCACGGGCAGGCAAGAGGGCGGTGCACTGCTCGGGAGCAAAGAGAGGTTGTGAGGACAGGGTCTGGAGATCAGAGGGCCCAGTAGGCAAATGCGGTCGGAAATAGAAGATGAGAAGATACATCGGGCATTTCTTATTAGTCGGGCTACCATAACAAAGCACATTACACCCGAGGGGCTTAAACAACAGATGTTTACTTCTCAGCATCTGGAGGCTGGAAGTCCAAGATTAAGCTGTTGGCCAGCTCGGACTCGGGTGAGGACTCTCTGGCTTACAGATGGCTGCCTTCTCGCTGTGTCCTCACATGGCCTTGGTGGAGAGAGGGAGCGACCTCGTTCTGTCTTCCTCTTCTTATAAGGCCACTAGTCCTGTTGGATTAGGATCCCCCCCTTATGACATCATGTAACTGTAATTACCTCCTAAAAGCTCTATCTCCAAACATAGGCACACTGGGGCTCTTAGGACTTCAGTATATGAATTTTGGGGGGACACAGTCTCCCCATAGTAGGGCACTAATTTATCTTACCTCCCTGGAGCTTGCAAGGATAAAGGGGAATGGGGGATCTTATCAAAATGTACCTTTGAGTCATACTCTCTGGATGACCCTTTGGCCACAGCATCTGCTTCAGGGGCCACTATGAACACTGGTGGACTTCAGGGGTAAGCAAGGTGGCCCAATGATCCAGCTTCCCACCTCCGATCCATCTGCTGACACAAGGCAGGATCTGGCGACTCTTGCCACTGGTGCTCCCAATGGTTGTCTGTTTCCTCTGCTTTGAGCTTCTGGGGTTCAAGGTCAGGTGGGCAGCCAGGGGTGCCATCACTAGCTTAAGGGAGCATCACCTCGATTATTCCTGGCCGCCACACTTCTCCCCTCTGTAATTAAAAAATAAACCAGAAGGATGGAATCAAAAAAGGACCTGGAAACAAGCTGGCTCTCACTTCCTCAAAAATTCAGGACCATGGGTTTGTGAGCTAGAACCATGTTTATTTGAAAGACCCTTCCCAGCAAAGTGTACATCCCTAGCAAAGTTCACTAAAGTACTACAAATAGCTTTTTTAAATGGTAATTTTTCCAAAGTGTGTGTGGGCCCAGCACAGCGACACAGAGTCTGGCTGTTAGAGCTGGCTGTCACCATTCTAATATGTGATCTTGGACACTGCATTTCTCCAAGAATAGGTTTCCTCATCTGTAAAATGTGGGAATAATCTCAAGAATGTTAGAGAATGAGTATGTAAAAGTGCTTCAGAAACAATAACATCATTGAACTAAGTCAGATATAATTAAGAATAATCAGTCACTCCTGCCTTTAAATGTTTACAGCCATCGTATGGAAGAAGCTGTATACATAGCATGACATCTGTTACTTTTTATATTGTTCCCCCATAAAGATGTTGCTGTCCTAACCCTGGTACCTGGGAATGTGACCTTATTTGGAAATACGGTCTTTGCAGATGGTCAAGGTAAGATGAGGTCATTAGGGTGGGCTCTAGTCCAGTATGAATGGTGTCCCTATAAAAAGGGAAATTTGAACACAGAGACAGACGCACACAGAGGAAAGACTGTCTAAAAACACAGGGAGAAAAGAAGGCATCAACAAGCCGAGGAGAGCTCTAGGCTACAGAAGCCGGGAGAGAACCTGGGACAGACTCTCCCTCAGGGCCCCAGAAGCAACCAGTCCTGCTGACACCTTGATCTCCAACTCCCAGCCTCCAGGACTCTGAGACAATAAATGTGTCATTTAAGTAGTTTCTTACAGCAGCCCCAGGAAACCAACCGGACACCCTACCTGAATTTGCTTACTTGCTCTAGTCTATCAAATGCAAAAGTACTTATGGAGGAAGTACTATGTGCTCTCCCTTACTGAGCTTCACGGGGAGTGCTGAAGGAGCAGCAGACAGGAAGAGGAAGAGACCAGGACGCACCTCACCCGAGGGAGCTGAGAGAGTGGAGGGCCTTCTGGGGTTCAAGGTCAGGTGGGCAGCCAGGGGTGCCATCTGAGCTGAGCCTTGATGGATAGGTACGTTCCAGATTGGAGGGGAGAGGGGCAGTCTCCCCTGTGAGCAAACACCCTGGTAAAGGCTCAGAGGTCACTCCAGAGGTGGGGTCCAGGGCCTTCCTGTCTGTTTTTGCACTTCCCCTGAGCTATCTCATCCCCCCACCTTCCTCTGGCTCATGTCTCCCATGCTGCCTCCTCATCTTTCAAACCCCACGAAACTGCCACCTGCTCTGTGAGTCTCTTTTTGGTCTCTCCCCGTGAGATGTTTTGGTGGATGGTCATAGCTGGTCATCGTCCAGGCCTTGATGATGGCAATCACCGTGCTTTGTGTGGACATCTGCTGCCCTGTGCCTGAGGTTGGGAGAAGCACGCACTGTGGCCAGACACTGTGACATGTTCACCAAAGTGACTGTTCTCTCCCGGCCCAAGGGAACACTGATTCCCAGACTCTTCTGCATCCAGGTAGGTCCTTGGGGCTAAATCAGATCAGTGAATGCAGGCGGATATCACGTGTGCCTCTCCCAGGCCTGGCTCCCGATGAGCTCCCAGAAGCCTGGCTAGCACTCTCCACTCTCTTTTGCTGGCTGAAAGTCAAGGGGCCAGAGGAGGACTTCTCCTAAGCTCAGGCACAGGGCAGCAGATGTCCACACAAAGCATTGTGATGCCATCATCAAGGCCTGGATGATGACCAGCTATGACCATCCACCAAAACATCTGAAGAGGGTGTAGAATCTAGATGGAAGAGGCTGGGGTTCCTGAAGGCTCGTGTGGAGTCCTTTATACCCTCTGACCTGCACTGAACCGCAATCTGGGTGAGAAAAGGAGTCGCATGTGTGACCACAGCAGAACAGAACTTAGCCGACTAACCCAGTAACTGCAGCCACCTTGCTGATGGGCCAGGCTGGGCATCTGCTGAGGGCTCCTCACCTGTAACCCTACCCTCTGCCTGCACACGCTACAGGAAGCCTGGGCAGTGACCCTGGCCACTGCTCTCTGCTGAGGAGGAAGATGGTGCCCCTAGGTACCAGAGCTGGCTCCCTATGACATCACCACAGCCCGCTACTGCTGACACTCATAGTCATTACTGCGTTTAATCCTCACAGGGGACCCAAGTGACTAACTCCCTCTGGGTTTGGCTGTGCTGTTTGTTGAGAGTGAGATCTGGGCTCAGATCACCCTGCCTGCCAGTCCCCAGTCAATTCCCCCAAATCCGCCCACTATCATTTCTCTCTGCAACCTCCTGTGTAGTGTGAGTTCACTGTGTTTTTGTGAAGGAGGATTTGAAGGAGGATTTGAGTTTTCCCCTGGAGATGCTAGAAAGACAGTTTGTCTCAGCCTAACACTAACGCCCAGCTCCACATTTATGCCTGTTTCTGTGGTTACCTTTCTTTGGGGATGCTTGAGGTGGGTGGTGGTGGTAGTGGTGGGGGTGTGTATGTATTTGCTCTTCCAGGGCCCAGATATTCAGGAACTGCTGGGGTGAGGGGCCCTGGGAAGCAGTCCCTCATTCCTTTCCTCTCTCGCAGGTGGCATGTGCGGGAGGATGGAGGAGGTCTGCAGGCAACATGCACCTGCCTCCCGAGACAGGCCACCCATTCCTGGGACTGAGATGTCAACCAAGCCCCTTCTTCAGCAGACACTGAAGACCCACAGCACGTTGGGGAAGTAAGGGCTGGAAAAAAGCCTTCTCCTCCATTTTATAGGTGGGGAAACCAAGGCCGAGGAGTCTAAGGGACTTGCCCAAATGGCCTTGTTACCATAGGCACAGAACTGGAACCCAGGACCCCCTCCCACCTCCGGCCAGAGCTTCTTCCCTTAACTCTGCGGGGAAGGAGTGGTATCTGCTCATAGGACAGGTGGTGGGGGGTGCCAGAGGGGCCTGGCACGCTGCACCTCTGGGTCACCGCGCCCGCACTTCCTGCAGAGGGCTGGGAAGGCGGGCGAGCGGCACGGGGTCCAGCTCTCCCGGGGGCAGCCCGCCGCCTCTCTCACACCCACAGGCCAGAGGCCAAGGGTTAGGATTGCGGAACCGGTGCTCGGCTCCGCTCCTGCCGGAAATACACCCTGGCTGGGGCCGGGTCAGGACCTCGGCTGGGCCCACAGTGAGGTGAAGAGGAGCGATGGGCCAGCGCAGAAGGCGCCGAGGGCCAGGAGGGGGCGTGGCCAGAGCGGGGCGCGGGCGGGGCTACGTTTGGGGGCGGGGTCGATCCGGGGGCGGGTCTGCAGGAAACTTGAGTGCCCGCCCTGGCCGTGCGCCCCTCCCCCGGCCCTCGCCTGCGGGGCCCGCCTTCGCTTTCCTTCCTTCCCCCGACTAGCAGGCGGGCCTCGGCGGCTGCAGGCGGCGGACGGGCGGACCGGCGGGCTGCTCCACCGAGCTCCCTCCCTCACTGCTGGCTTCCTTTTGTCTTTCTGGGCGGCGATGAGCACAAGGCCGGCGCGGCGGCTGCGGGCGCACGGAGGCCCGAGCTCCTAGCCACCCTTCCCGGCCTCGGCGCGCTCGTCCCGGGCAGCGGCCCGCGCCTGCCCCAGCGCCCGCGGCGCCGAACTTGGGCTCGGCGAGCCGGCAGACCTCCGCCGGAGCAGGTAGGGAAGAGGCGGGCTGCGGGACTGCGGGGAGTGCCGGCGTGTGCACCGGCTCGCGCTTCTTTGGGCTCTCTGCGTGTGTGCGTGTGCGTGTGAGTGTGTGTATGTGTGTTGGGGAGTGACTGTTTCTCTGCGCGGTGGAGTTGTGGATCTAGGATGGTGGTGTGTCCCTGGAATGGCGTGTCCTCGTGGGGATCCATGTGTGCAGTTCGGTGTGCACATTTTGGGCTGCGTTTGTGGAACCGTGTGTCGGGGCGCAGTTACTGGTGCGGACCAGTGCGGGGCAGGTGTGTGTGAGCCGCTGTGCGTGGGGCGCTGGTGGCTGGGTGGGCGTGGGCGGTCCAGCCCTGCGCGCGGAGCCCGCGGTCCCCGCTGGCCGGCGCAGTGCGGAGCTCCAGAGCCCTGGGGGACAGCTGGGATCCGAGGTGGCTAGCCCCGCCGGGGTGTGGGTCCGCGGGGCCCACGTGGGTCGCCAGTGAGCTCTGGCCAGCGGAGGGGGTCCGCGCGGCGACCATCGCCCCATTCTTCCCAGGCAAAGGGGCCGTGGACAGACCCCTGCTCGGGAGTTAGAAGCCCTGGCGTCGCCGTGACCTGTACTGCGACCTGGGCCAGACACCCACCTTCCCGGGTCGCGGTTTGCTTCTCTGTCAAATGGGGGCAGTTCCTCCCTCGGGGTGCGTCGTGACAGTTAAAACGAGAACGCACTAAAGATAGCTGCTGGCCCAGTGCTTAACACATAGTAGGTGCTACGATAATTGAATTAGCTTTCTCTTTTTAAAACAATCCTTCTGTTCTTTATGGTGGATGGCGCTCTTAAATCCCCCCAACCCCCTCGTGTGTTTAACGTCCCTCTCACCGCCCTAACTTAACCGCGCAGCACAGACATTCGAGAAAGTTTAGGCTGCGAGGGCGCCGCCTCCTCTCCGCACCTCGCGGGCGCCGCCGCCTAGGGTGCGCAGGGGCGCGCAGTGCCCGGCCCCCGCCCTACCCCTGCCGCCCAGGCCCCGGCGCCCGAGCGAGGGGCCCTTCCCTGGCTGCAGGCAGCGTCTGCGGGAGTCGGGAGCCCTTTTTTTCAACAAGTGCCTAGTCCCTGGGTTGTGCAGCTCCTAGAATCGAGAGCCGTGGTGTGAAAGTGGCGCTTCGCGCAGACCGTTCCCAGGGCATCCGGGTGGGCCTGGTCGCGCCAAAGGCTGTCTATCCCCTTTCTTGCCCGCCGACACCGATTCCCCCTAGAGGAGGGTGTTTGCCAGGACCTGCGCTGGGCCTTGGCTTTGGACACCCTCCGACCCCACCCGCATCCTTCCCACCCCCGCTGCCTTGAATCAGCGTTACGCAGGAGGCCGCTGGCCCTCGTGGGACCCTTCCTCCTCGTCCCACATCTTAATTTTTAAAATATTTAGGTTGAAAACAGCTACTTGTAACGTTGAACTGCAGTGAATGTGTACACAGGTCTAACCATGATTACCTCTCAGGACGATCCTGCCAACCGCACATAGGGCTTGTTCAGCCCCAGCCGGTCACAGGCTGCCCTGCCCCTTCTGCCCCAGCCAGGGGTCCCTTCCTTGCATCTCTGGTTTCTTCCTCTCAGAACCCTTCCCAGTCGGAAAAACGACCAACCTTTCACTAAGGAAGCAGCCGGCTGAAGGTGCGTGACGCTCTCAAAATGGAGCGCAGGCATGGAATGGGCAGGGGCAGAGGAACATGGGCTGGGCTGCATTTCCAGGTATCAGGTGCTCCCGGTTTATGTGGTCAGGAAAGCTGGAATCCTTTGCAAGCTTTTATGGCACGGGAGCAAAAACCTCTTTGGTTCCTTTGGTTTGTCTTCTGCTAAGACCAGAACCCTGAGGTCTCAGCAGTGGTGGCAGCAGGGGGCCCTGGATAAGCTAATTTTTCATCCTGATTTGGTGTCGGGGGCACACTTACAACACAACCTGTTTTTTCCATTTCATAAAATGATTTTTATATCCTAAAGGGGGAAGGGGCTTTTGATTTGAATCTTAACTATCTTCCCCATAATCAGATTCAGTAATATGAAGAAAAAAACTCAGTCTGGCTTTGTCAGCTCAGAAGACAGATCAAAAGCTGGGGTGTTTTGTTTATTTGTTTGTTTGTTTTTTTTCCTAGTTAAAACCAGCCCTTTGTCTCAAGCAAACCAGTGTTTTGGCCCTAGGTCTATTTCTGTTTCACTTTTGAAAGTGCCTGTAATTACTGAGCTCTTGAGGTTTTATTGGATAATGTGCCAGAGGGAAGGCCCAGGGGCTCAGCCTCTCGCTTGCCCCTTGGATGCATGCTACTCTACGGGCTCCACATTTACACTCTTCGTACGATGGAAAATAGATGTCAATGTGTGATAATAATTTAGGGACTTGGCATTGGGACTCCGATACTTGGAAGGTCATTCGACTTGTGGAGAAGAAACAGAAGTAAGTCAAGCCCCCAGAAGAACAGAGCATTGCCCAAAATCTGGTCAATGATCCATTCATGTCCAACAAGCCCTCTAGAGAGAGAGGCTGTAAGAAAAATGAAAGAGCTTGGACATATCCCTTCAGAATTTATCTTAGTGCCCCTTTCTGGCCGCTGGGCTGTGCAGAATTAGAAATACAAGCTGTCGAAGGACAGGGAGTGGGCTCTCCTCTGCGTACACTCCCCGCCAGGGCCTCCCAGCTCCACGTCCCCAGGAGCAGCTGTGGAGGCGCCTCCTGCAGAGGCAGTATGTGCTGCTGGCGGCGTTCCGAGGCCCTCACCCGCTGCCTCCGGGGCTCCATTTACACAGGTCCAAGAGCGGCCAGGCATGGAAGCACCATGTCGAGTGTTTGTGCATTGGGCGGTCTGTCTCCTCCTTGCTTCCCCCAAACTAATTCTAAGACCTCGTATTGACACTCAAAAGTGGCGAAGTGCCAAGGTCACTTAGGAACCAGTGATAATCCGGGATACTAATAAGGAACCCCTGAGTTTCTTTGGCACCAAAGAGTAAGCTACTTGGCAACTGAAATTGTATCTAGACCAGGATCAGATTTGTATTAGAATTTAGAGGTCCAGCAAGTCTTAAACTAAACCATGCTTGCTTGTTGTGGGAGCATGCTTTCCCATTTAGGAGTTGACAGCCCAGGCTCGATGGGCGATTTTTTCTAGTTTGCCAGCCCCTGTTGTCACTGTGCTTGGGCAAGGGGGGACTTGTAGGCTTTTGTCACACCCTAGTTTGGGACTTAGCATGCTCCCACTGTCTCACTGGGTTTCTTTAGGTTTTCATGTCCACATGTAGGACAGTGCATCTGGGGATCTCAGGTGGCTCTAGTCCTCTTCTCCTTGGGTTGAGTTTCTAACCAGGCGATGACAGAGGGTAACTGTATGTGGAGTGGGCCTCAGAGGTCCTCTCAGTGCCACTTGCACCATGAGGAAAAAAATGTTTCCTTCAAATCACTTTCTGCCCAAAATGAAAAGGTTGGAATCTAGTTGCATGGGTTTTACTGTAACTTGAGGTAATTGATACAGTTTGACAGGTGGAACATTTCTTAGGCACTGATGAGCAAGGCCCTGACGTCTAAAGAATTTTTTTTTTAATCATCAGGAAAGCACAGTAAATCCTCTAAGCGGGCCCTACCTTGGCCGTGTCGTTTCAAGTATGATTGGTTTTCAGAGGCAAAGCTTCCTATCTCTGCATTCAGAAGGCACTGACTGACTAGAGACGCTGCCCCAGGGGCCTCAGGTTCTCTTCCTGTCCCAGCCCCCCAACCCCCGCCTGCATCAGGACAGCAGACACGCCTCCCTGGGACTCTTCTCACTTCTTTATAAAACAAGTGCACTCCCCATGCTTGCTGACCCAGTCGCTGTGTTCTCTGGGCAGTTCCTTCTTTCTTTCTTTTTATTGTATAGTTGATATACAATCTTATATTAGTTTCAAGGTATACAACACAGTGGTTAACCAGTTACCCACATTATTAAATCCTCACCTCAACTAGTGCAGTTACTACCTGTCAACATAGAAAGATGTTACAGAATCATTGGTCTGGGCATTTGTTTCCGTTTCTTTTCAACACCAGAGGTGGAAGTCAGGAGACTGGTTGGTATGGGTTGCAGGTGGGGAGGTGCCCGCATCAGCCCCGCCACCTCATTAGCTGAGCGATCTCTGAGAGGAGCCTCAGTATCTGGTACCGCAGCCAAGATCTTCCTGGGCTCGGTGTCGCCTTCAGCAGGGGAGGGCCCTGCAGTCGGGTACTATACTGAGCGCCCTCCTCCACCTGTGCTCATGTCTGTGCATCGGCAGGTGAGCCGACCTGAGCTCTCCCAGGGATCAGAACCAACACAGCAGAGCCCAGAGCCCGCTCTGCCCCATCCCTCGTTTCTACCTGTTCTGGTGCATGACTCTCACCTGCCGCTCCTTGCAGCTAGAATCTCAGGAGGTTTCTGGGCTCTTGCGCCTGCCTCCTCCGCCCATGAACAGTCAGTGCCCCTGCTGCCCCAGCCCCTCCTCCTGTTCCCCAGGCTCCACCTCCCTCAGAGCCTGGAGCTTGACCTCCAGTTCCTTCCCTTGTCAGGCTGTCCCCGGTCAGTGCTCAGACAGACTTTATCACGTCACTCCACTCCTGCCACCCCCGGGTCATTCTCTGTCCCAGTAAGTGTCCTTCCGAGCACCTGTGTGTGCCTCGCACCCAGCCAGGCTCTGGAAGCTGGACAAGAGGCTCTCCCTGGGCTTGGTGTTGGGCTGGGGGTGCCAATTGGTTTTCCTTCCCAGGCTCCTTTTGCAGATGTGCCCCAGGGCCTCTTCCGCGAGGGCGTCCGGCCGTCCCCAAGTCTCGGCTAGGACTGATGGATTGCTCCCTTGTTGCCGTGAGGTAGCTGGGTGCTTGGCTCCCTGTGGTGTGGCGTGCCTGCCATGCAGGACCCGTCTCGCTAGCCCCCACCCCTCACCCAGTGCAGTGCTGGGCACACGTGCAAGGCTTGTTGGTTGGACTGAAGGGAGTTGCTTCCTTCCTGTTTCTCTGTGAACTCCTGAGTATCCA